ATTGTACTACTAGCTACATCTCCTAGCAAGTCAGGTACTTAAAAGAGGTGTCTTCCACTGAAATGACCGATGCTTTGTTTGACCTACAACCTCTTGCATCCACCATTAGCAGGGAAGGCTAATCTCTTTCATCAAGTCCTTGTAAATGAAACTAAAAAAACTGCTTACGCAAGATGAAGAACTTGCTCTGTTGCTTCCATTTTCAGTGAATGTGAATCTAAAAGAAAGGAATGTTAGCAAAAGATGGAAGATGTCTTCCATCCATAGTGTTTTATGAAATATGCAAATCAGGATTGAAACCATCAGAGATGCAACGGATTCCTTATCCCCACTCAAAAGATTTCAGTGATTCCACAAAAGGTCAGGCACAAGAATAGAACACTTCAGGCTCAGAGAAATGCAACTGGGCAGATGAAGTTGGGGGGATGCCTTTTAGTCCTTCTGCATTTATGAAGAAGGCCTGAATAGCCAGACATGAATCTCTAGCGAAGACTGCACTCAGAGACCCCAGAGGGTGCATGTCCCCAAACTCACACTGTCTGCATGCCATATTGATTACACAGACGCCATGTCTGTGCAGCTACTGTGTCCCAGTTGACATCAATGGGATTGGCTGCACAGGGATTCACAAACACTTGTGCATAAACATGGCCCTGCATGGTATAGTACGCCCTGTGTGAACAAGGTCTGAATGAACTTTTAGCACTTTTTTTTTTATTCTAATTTGTCTGTGCTGACCCTGTGAATACAAGAGGGGAGAAGAGCTGTTGCAGACAGGATAGTGTTGGATTGAGTGTTTAAGCACTTGCCCTCCAGATGATTTACCCCCCCCCCCCCCTTCCTGACCAGGCCATTTTTTGCGATACTGCGCTGCGTTATTTTAACTGACAATAGCGCGGTCATGCAACGCTGTACATAAATTAAATTTATGCCCTTATTTCCCCCACAAATAGAACTTTCTTGCAGTGGTATTTGATCACCTCTGTGTTTTTTTTGTGCTATAAACAAGAAAAAAAAAAAAAAACGAACAATTTTGAAAAAGAAAAAAAAAAAAATTTTTTACACACACACTTTTTTTTTTACTTTTTGCTATAAAACATATCCAGTAAAAAAAAAAAAAAAAACACATTTCTTCATAAAAATTAGGCCAAAATGTATTTTGCTACGTCTGCTACAAAAAAAAAAAATCCCAATACGTGTAAATTAATTCCTTTTTGTGAAAGTTATAGTGTCTACAAATGGCGGTATATATACGCTGGAATTTTAATTTTTATTATACTAGTAATGGCGGCGATCACTGACTTATAGCGGGACTGCAGTGAGCATTCTGGCACTGGGTGGGCACTAACTGCCACCAACATCCCCAGGGACACTAATACAGTGATCAGCGCTAACAAAAAGTACTGACACTGGGCAGGAATGGGTTAACATCTGGAACGATCAAATGGTTAACTGTGTGCTGTGTGCGTGTGTTTTACTAGAGAGTCGTGCTGTTTTGTATCTCTCTGCTGTGTCCATTGTGACAGGAGAGAGACCTGTGTTGTTTACACACAGGTCTCTCCCCGCCGATCGCTGAGTGCCAGCCTGGAATCGCCAAATTGGACCCAGTAATTGACTTCTCTAGTACCCAATAAACAGTGAAGGCAGGGCGGCATGCGCGCCCCCTACCAGGAAATACTGTATATATGTGTGATTTTGCGCAGCCCTGCAGCAGTACTTCTGTGGTCAGAACCACTTTAATAACAAAAGAAAGACCTAGACTTTAAAAAGATAAAAAACCCAAAAAAAAACACAGGGGGTTGATTTACTAAAAGGCAAATACACTGCACAATGCCAGTGCGGTTGCACTCATTTTCCTCGGAGCTTATTTGAATGTGAAGCTTTGTCGATTTCCATCATCCGACCATGTGAACGCAAAAAAAAACGGTTTTGTTTTTTTTTCTCCTTTCACCTGATTAGGTATACTTTACAAAGTGAATATTCACCACATTCATTAAGCTCTGGGGGAAATGAGTGCAACTGCACTTGCAAAAGTACATGTATACTTGCTTTTAGTAAATCAACCCCACAGCTTCTAGGCTAGGAACTCCATGTTTAAAAACCTATTATCAAGTAAAACATGTACATTGATTTGAGATATGCAAGAATAAAATGAAAATACACTTACTTCTTAATACAGCTTCACTTTATCATGAACACAGGAAACATTTTTTGTTAAAGAATGTTTATTTTCACCGAACCCAGGTAATATTTAGACAAGCATCTGTTTCTTTTAAATGTACATCTTTGAATTCAATTTTAAAGTGATATTTAAAACAAGTTGGAAAGCAACAGTCCTAACAAAAGAACCATTTCATTATTCTCAAACCTGCTGCATGAGAGGTTTTGCCCAAGGAGGAAAATATTCTTTAAACATTGAGATACATAAGAAAACAATTATATAAAACAATTGTGTGTAGAAGAATAAGAAAATAATACAAGCCGATAAATTACATAATTCACTACTTAATCCTGATCTGCACCAACACCAGAAGCATTTATTTTAATGCATTTACAAACAACAAACAGATGAAAAATAGTTTAACAAAATATACCACTTTTCATCTAAAACTAAACAGCTGCAGACAGGCATATGTGCCAAAGAAGAAAAATGGGAAGAATGGCTTTAAAATAATAACAGATGTTTTATTTTTAAAGCCTCAAAGAACATTGTAATTTCTCTCCTGCTTTAAAATGTTTTTCAAATATTTAATGACTAGAGTGAAACCAAATATAATAAAGCTGGCCATGCACAAAGGAAATAGTTACTGAATGATCAGACCTACTTTTTTGCCAACATGCACATCCACATCAGTGCAAATTGTGAGAAAGTCCCCCATTGTGTGGCACCAACATGTCTCTGTTCAACTAGAATCAACAATCTACATTCTGTCCTATAAAGGCAACATTTTGCACGAATGCACCACGATTTGGATCATACTCCTACTGGCCTCAATGTATGGCCATCTCAAGTCAGCAGGCTGCTCAGTTTTTTTTTCTTAATTTTTTTTTTTTTTTAAATAACATGCGATAACAGTGCAAGCTGTAATATTCACAGGTATAACATACCATCCAAATCTTAAAATTTCAAGAGAACCTTTCCTGCATTTTTTTTTTAATATGCTAGAAATGATTACCAACCTCTGAATTCTGCATTGGGAAATGTAATGTGTGGATTTAAAGGCTAAGTTCACCTTTTATAAGAAGCATAATAAATGCATATCTTTATGCAGGTTAAAAAAATTTATTCGTTTTTAACTCTACAGCAGGAGTGGGCAACTGTGGCCCTCCAGCTGTTGAACTACAAGTCCCATCATGCCTCTGCCTTTGGGAGTCATGCTTGTAACTGTCAGTTTTGCAATGCCTCATGGGAGTTGTAGTTCTAAAACAGCTGGAGGGCCACAGTTGTCCACCCCTGCTCTACAGCCTTTAAAGTCATTGCACCCAAGGTCAGCAGATCACAGGGGCAGACACTGCCAGGATCCTGCAGACACTCAGTACACCTGTCTGCCCATACCGTGTTACTGAATTGCAGGAAGAATCAACGAACCATGAAAACACTCACCTGCGCCCTCATAGTTCATTTAGAACTAAACGTTGTTGGCCGCAGTAGGCTACTGAACTTGTAGTTCCTTCATTCACAGTACTCTGTGAATGAAAAACATGGCCATGTGGGTGGAGCCCTGCATGGCTACGTGGTTTTTAAATTAGGACAGCGCGTGCAAGGAGAAATGCCCTGCCTGCTGCCACGGGTGACGGGAATAATTACGGGTGAAACATGTTCCACGGGTAAACACATCCTTTAAAGTGATTCCTTACTTATGATGCCTTTTCAAATTCCAAAATTGTGATGATCACTAGCTCTAGTGCAGTAAAGGTGAAACTGGACTGTCACCGCCCAGGAAGAGTATGGTTGTTTAGATGCTTGTTTTCAAAGAGATTCCTTTGGATTATTGGCTATGAACTCCTTCGTAAAACTAAAACCTGCCAGTAGTATGTTATAGTCAGAAGAAGTTGCTAAGTTTTAGCTGCAGCATATCCTCCTATACGGTGGTGGCACTTTTTAAAATACAGTATACACTTCTCATCTCTCAGCACACTATCATGGTTCATCACGGCAACATTATGGTCACTGAAGACAGCTGAGCATGCTCATGGTGCAGAGAAACACCGAATGTTCAGTACTGCTTTACAATCTTATTTGCATAGCAGATGGACACAAGGCAGCAAGATGACACAGCTATACAATATTAACCACATCCTCATCAGAAAAGTCTACAGACATGCCCAGTCTTTTCTTACAATAAAAGGATTAAACAGTAGTTAACTGGTTTTCTAGAAACCCACTTTTGCCACCAGATTTTGAACAGGCTATTTTCCAAAGAAGCATGAGACTTTCCTGTAGGCAGAACATATTAGGTAATGAATTATTAGAAACGGCAAGACAATGCACAACAGAGGAGGCAATTTGATCAAAAGGATTAAAGAAGTTTTCATTTGCTGGATACAACTATTGCAGGTTAAACCTGTGTGGCTTATTCACAGCCATCTTATTAATGAACCGCTTTGGTTCGCAGTCTTCATAAAAACAAGACATCATCATTGCAAAAGTAAAGTGTAAAGAAACACAAATGTAACTAGATGTACTTCCAATCCGGACGGTACCACAATACAGAGTGCTCTGTGATCTTTGCAAAAATGTTATTATGCTTTTGCTTTCTTGGGGACTTTTCCTGAAGGTAACATATGCAGCATGGTGTCTTATTTGTGCTACAATGAGCATTTCCAATAGCAAACATAGCAAAACTAAATTCTGAAGTTGTTCTGACCAAGATGACAGGAAGGGAAAACAAAAAATAAAACAAAGTTTGGGATTATCAGTTAGGACAAAGTTTGGGATCAAAAATAAAATGCTTGGGATCATCAGTTAGGACAAAACAAAATCCCCACAAAATAGCTGCTTAAACCACTCGCCGGACTTCAAAAAATCTCTTCAGGTAATAGATCTGTCCCAGTGTCATAGCTACCAGTACAAGGGCTTCAAAAAATGACCAAAGCACCACTCTGCTGTTTGTGTTGTCATTGACTGTTGGGGAAAAAAAAAGAAAAAGTAAAGGCCAAGTTAATTTTAGATAGCAGTCATGTCTTTCCTGCACACAATTAACAACCCCATTAGTGTTCAGAACCATTTCCTTCACCTTAGAGTGGTATTAAAGGTTTAGCTATTTTCATACTTACCTACTCAATACAGTGGTTTTGCACAGAGCAGCCCTGATCCTCTTCTACTCAGGTCCCCTGCCAGCTCTCCTGGCTTCTCTCTTGACTAGTGCTCCCAATAACAAGCCGCTTTGTAGGGAGGCACTGGTGTATGCCCTCTCTCAAGCCTGGCTATATGCATCCATAAGAAACAAAGCTGTGGCTCAGCCCTGCTCCCCACTCTTCTCATTGGCTGCGATTGACAGCAGTGGAAGCCAATGGCTCCCACTGCTGTCTAAGCCAATGAGAATGAGACCCAGGAGAGACGAGGCCCTCACGTACATTGCTGGATTCAGAGCGGGCTCTAAGGGGGGAGCAGCACACAGGTTTTTTTACCTGAATGCATGAAAAGAAAAACCCTTCTGCCTCCACAGCCACTTTAAAGTGGTGCTAAACTAAAAAAAAAAAAAAAAAACAAAAAAAAAACAAAAACCTCCCCTCCCCACTACCTATATTCCAGATATGTGGACAGTCCAGTCTGATTTGTGGGTTAGCGGAGATGAAAGGACCCCTAAAAGTCTATCACTATGTTTTTACTTAATTCAAAGAGATCATGAACTCATAGACATGGTCAAATACAAGGCAGAAAAAAGCATGTTGCTTTGAAAGTCCTAAGAGTAAATGAAATATGCCATAATCAACAGATCTAAATATACCGCTGATGTATCGTACACAGTTTTCCCAAATGCTTCTTAACTTTGTTAGAACTGGGAACTGGGAAATTGTGGCACATATTTTGGGTCTGCAAGCAAAATCTCTGACCAACTGCCCCCTCTATGGGTCTTGAAGGCTGGAGTTTAAATTCCTTGTCCATATGAAAACCAGTATTTAAAAAAGTAAGCCCTACCCTACTAAACCTTAACATTAATACCTCTTGCACACAGGAGTAAAAAAAGTTTTTTACTGATCTGAATATAAATGCGTTATAATCTATGGAACATTGTACACAGCTGTAAAAGGATCAGTAATACTATCATCAGTACAGAGCCGTAAAACAAAAACAGAACATTTTACATTTGAGTGCAGTAATTTACGTGCATGTGTGTTCATACACTACTCAAAAAAATTTAAAGGAACACTTTGAAAAACACTGCAGATCTCAATGGGGAAAAAGATCATGCTGGATATCTATACGGATATGGACTGATATGCGTAATGTGTTAGGAAAGTAAAGATGCCCCATCGTTTGATGGAAATAAAATTGTCAACCTACAGAGGACTGAATTCAAAGACACCCCCCGAAAATCAAAGTGAAAAAATGATGCAATGAAATTTCAGCAAAATGGATTAGGCGACTGCAGCAACTCAAAATGGTACTCAATAGTTTGTATGGCCCCCACGTACAACGTCAGGGCATGCTCTGACAACAGATGGTGTCCTGGGGTATTTCCTCCCAGATGTGGACCAGGGCATCACTGAGCTCCTGGACAGTCTGAAGTGCAACCTGGTGGCATCGGATGGACTGAAACATGCTATCCTAGAGGTGTTCCTTTGGATTTAGGTCAGATGAGCATGGGAGTCATTCAATTCATCCTCCAGGAACTGCCTGCATACTGTCGCCACACGAAGCCAGGCATTGTCGTGCAGCGGGAGGAACCCAGGACCCACTGCACCAGCGTAGGGTCTGACAAAGGGTTCAAGGATTACATCCCGATACCTAATGGCAGTCAGGGTGCCGTTGTCTAGCCTGTAGAGGTCTGTGTGTCCCTCCATGGATATGCCTCCCCAGACTATCACTGACTCACCACCAAAACGGTCATGCTGAACAATGTTGCAGGCAGCATAACGTTCTCCATGGCTTCTCCAGACCCTTTCACGTCTGTCACATGTGCTCAGGGTAAATCTGCTCTCATCTATGAAAAGCACAGGGTACCAGTGGCGGACCTGCCAATTCTGGTGTTCAATGGCAAATGCCAATCTAGCTCTATGGTGCCGGGCAGGGAGCACAGGGCCCATTAGAGGACGTCGAGCCCACAAGCCACCCTCATGAAGTCTGTTTCTGATTGTTTGGTAAGAGACATTCACACCAGTGGCCTGCTGAAGGTCTTTTTGAAGGACTCTGGCAGTACTCATCCTGTTCCTCCTTGTACAAAGGAGCAGATACCAGTCCTGCTGATGGGTTAAGGACCTTCTACGGCCCTGTCCAGCTCTCCTAGAGTAACTGCTTGTCTCCTGGAATCTCCTCCATGCTCTTGAGACTGTGCTGGGAGACACAGCAAACCTTCTGGCACAGGCACGTATTGATGTGCCATCCTGGAGGAGTTGGACTGCAATCTCTGTAGGGTCCAGGTATCACCTCATGCTACCAGTAGTGACACTGACCCTAGCCCAGTGTTTCTCAACTCCAGTCCTCATGGAACCCCAAAAGGTCATGTTTTCAGGATTTCCATTATTTTGCACAGGTGATTTGATCAGTTTCACTGCCTTAGTAATTACCCCAGCTGTTTCATCTGAGGGAAATCCTGAAAACATGACCTGTTGGGGGTCCATGAGGACTGGAGTTGAGAAACACTGCCCTAGCCGGATGCAAAACTATTGAAAAACAGTCAGAAAAGGCGAGTAGGGGAAAAAAAAATGTCAGTGGCCTCGACCTGTAAAACCATTCCTGTTTTGGGGGTCGTCTCATTGTTGCCCATCTAGTGCACCTGTTTATTTTATTAACATCAAAGCAGCTGAAACTGATTAACAGCCCCCTCTGCTACTCAACTGACCAGATCAATATCCCAGGAGTTTAATTGACTTGATGCTATACTCTGATTACAAAAGTGTTCCTTTAATTTTTTTGAGCAGTGTACATGTTTGTGCACATGCACATTGCAATACCAGTAATGAATAAGAATTTCACATGTGTATACGCATATGTGCATGTAAGCAAGGTCTTTACCACATTCAGAACCATTACAACACACTTTTATTGTTGCCGATTAGCTATAACTAAAAATCCGAAAAAACCATTATAAACACCCATTTGTAAAAAAAGCAACTGAATCTTTGCTTCAGATATACATTTTCAATAGATTTGGAACTAAATCAAAGATTTTAATTTTTTGTCAAAGAATAAACTGATCTAAAGAATAAACCCAACATTTCATATTGCTGGTACTAGACTACTGTAGTATGTACTTGTAAGAATAAGTATCCTGTTCTCGTTGTATTGCTTTCTTTGGGTGAAATCCCTGGTGTTCCTGCCAGTCCCTCTGCTTTCCTATTAAAAACTGACCACATTACACCAGAGCACACCACAGTCAGTGTTCAGGCTTTGCAGTAACTCAGCCTGCTCTCCTCCAATGATCACACTTGTGCTGACAAACATCCCCCCCCCCCCCCCGCACAGCCATTCACTGGAAAGACCAGTGTGTTGCGTTTCTTCTCCCCCAGCTCTCATGCAGCTAAGAATAGAGGGTATGTGATCACTTATAACTTATCACTTATGTTTTTATATGTATACCCAAATCTTTTGCCTTTTATTTATATTTTTAAACTGAATGGGTTGTTCTACAATGCAAAGGTTTACATATACTTTAATGATTTATGTACACAACTTTAACTTAATTCTTTTTCTGGCACGTTTCACTAAATTCATGACTGAAATTATGTGTTGTATATTCACGTTCAATTATTAGTAATGTTATATGTATTTATTTTTTTAGTAGCTTTATGTACAAAAATCAATCCAGTCATTACAGGAGTCAGTATACTTAATTATTTGTTTATGTATCTATTATGTATGTATTCTATAATCTTTAATATAACTCACTTGCTCTGTGTATTCTTTCCCGCACTTCCATGTATTCTTGCTCATGCTTTACAGCTGTCATGGCCACTGCAAGTTCATTGATCATCTCTTCCAGCTTGTTCTGATGGGCTGCATTAAAATGATTACACATTGATTCACAGTGAAAAGTCAGACATACTGTACATATATTTCACTCTATCCAATACCAGAATGTCTCTGTACAGTATATATTCATAATTTGAGAGAATGTAAGCATTCCTAGCTGTAGTTGTTAGAATGGACTCTCTTTAACAGCAAAATAATAAATATAGAAGGAACATAACACGTGTTCCCAAAACCCACAAGCAAAAATTCATTACATTGCAGCATTTTTACAAAGTCTAAGTGATGCAGGCGATACTGATTAATTTTATAGTACATTTAGAGGTCGATAATTCTCTGTGCAAATGTCCCAACATCTGCCAAACATCGCAATAAAATCCCCATAATATCTTACAATTCTACTTCCTCCTCTCCTCTTTGTTTTTCCCTCGGGGTCCCCCAAGGTTCTGTTCTTGGACCTCTGCTATTCTCCATCTACACCTCCCTGTGTCAGCTAATAGCCTTCCATGGCTTCAGTATCATTTCTACGCTGACGATACCAAAATTTCTCTCTCAACCCCTCAGCTCACCTCATCAGTCTCCTCACGCATCACTAACTTACTGACCAACATAGCAGCCTGGATGTCACACCACTTCCTCAAACTCAATCTGTCCAAAATAGAGCACTTAGTGCCCCTTCCCCTGACTTCTCTGTCAAGATCAATGACACAACCTTCAACCCGTTCCCACATGCCAGGGTGCTAGGTGTAATCCTTCACTCTGAACTCTGCTTTTGGCCTGACTTTCCAAAGCTCACCATTTCAACCTCTGCAACATCTCCAAAATACATCCCTTCCCTTCCTAACCATGACACCACAGAGCTCCTAATTCACTCCCAGGTTCTCTCTCGCCTCGACTACTGCAACTCCCTCCTCACTGGCTTATCTTTACATGGGCTATCCGCTCTCCAGTCCATCAAGAATGCTGCTGCTGGGCTCATCCACCTCAATAACTGTTCAGTGTCTGCCACCCCTCTCTGCCAATCCCTGCACTGGCTGCCACTCACCCAACAAATTAAATTCAAAATTCCCTTGTCACCTGCTCCCTTGTTTGCCTCTGGGACTTCTCCCGAGCCTCTCCCATCCTATGGAATTCCCTACCCCCAACCTGCCCGACTATTTCCTACTCTGTCCACTTTTAGGCGATCCCTGAAAACTTCTATCCTGCCTCCACCTAACAACTGTACATGTATTTTCTCCATCAGTTCATCCCCCACAGTTATGTTTTGTATCACTTGACCCTCCTCTTTTAGATTGCTAATGAGCAGGGTCCTCTGATTTCTCCTGTATTGAAACTGTACTGTTTGCCCTCATGTTGTAAAGTGCTGTATAATAATAATAGCATTTGTGAACAGTTTTCTATGTATTTCCTATAACTGTCAGCGCCATCTAGTGGCCAAAATGTGGTATTTTCCTAACTGTGGTACTTCAGGAATATACCACATTATGGCCACTAGATGGAGCCGATGATCATAAATAGATAGAAAATAACATTTCGCACATATTATAAACATGAGGATTATGTGCAACATCTGTGTAAATGCTGAAAAATTTGCACAGCAGCCTATTTATAAATAGACCCCTATGTAAACCTCTAAGCAGTACAAAGGGCAGGGGTGAAAGCTGACAGGTTCAGTATCCTGCCAGCTCTTGAAGATTCTAGAAGGTAGATTTGCACTAGCTGTGCAGCCTTTACCTTTCATCGCCCCACCCCCCAGTACATTATCCAGAATATGTGGGGAGCACAAGGCTAAATTCAGTTTTTGTTGTTTTTAGTGTGTACCCTCATACTAGAATAGAATTTTCTGGAGTGTAAAGGCTTGAGTGGGTCGAGCCAGCACTCTCCGGAAAGTAAAACTCCTGCTATAAAATGCATGCAAAAACAAAAATCAGCTGAGCTGTAAATTTTATTTTGAATATTATTTTTTAAGCAATGTCTGAGAAAACACACATCAAATTTGCATGCCATCTCTTTGTAACACCGCAGCACTTCACAAGCTAGAAGGTTAGGGTTTTAAGTAACCAAACTGCTTTCATCCAACATTGCATTAATCCATATCATTGCCATGCCAAAACAGGTGAGTGCTAGAAAACCGGACAGAATATTAAACTTTATACAATGCAACAGAAAACCTTTACCCTGCATAAAACCTACCGTCCCAAGTATCTCCACCACCTAAGAGGGTTGTAAAGAAAGGAGAACAAATCAAAGTGGCTAATAAATGTAGAAAATAAGACAGTCTAATGTGTCTGTATTGTGGATCATGAATAGCGTTTCAAGTGGAACGTCACTCTCTCAATCAACATGGACTATTTTTAATCCTTATGCTGCTAGAATTAGTAAATAGATAGTAAAGTATATCAAATTAACTTGTTTTAAACTTTTTATTTTAACATTTCTTCAGTTGCTTCCTGGTTTCCTGCCTAGGCAAAATGATGTCATACATCCCAGCAGTCTTCAGGAGAAGAGGGAGGGTTCTCAGCTCAGCCTATGCCTGAGCCAAGGGCAGATTTTTGGTTTGTGGTGTTAAGATGCAGTGCAGTTCAACTTTAAGGCTAAGTTCACCTTTTAACAAAGAGTAAATGCAAAAAAACTTTTTTTTTTTCTTTTTTGCATTTACTATTTTTTGTTTTGGAGCCTGTAAAGCATTGCAGAACTCCTACAGACCTGTTGGTGTATCTGTGTGCTCGTACATTGTATGGGCAGGCAGATTCACAGAGCTACCAGAGCACTCACCAGCGCCGTGGTAGTTTGAGGATTACAAGCCGTCAGCTAAAAAGGCTGTTGGGACTTGTAGCCTTCCCACTCACAGAACACTGTAAATGGATGGATGGGGCCAGGCAGGCAGAGCCCCGCACGGCCATGATTTTTTTTTTTTTTATACCACTTGCCTACTGGGCACTTATACCCCCATCCTGCCCAGTCCAATTTTCAGCTTTAAGCACTGTCGCACTTTCAATAAAAATTGCGCGGTCATGCAACATTGTACCCATATGAAATTTTTTTCACACATATAAAGCTTTCTTTTGGTGGTAATCGCCACTGGGTGTTTTATTTTTTGCACTATAAACTAAAAAAAATAAAAAGCAAAAAATTTGAAAAACCAAAAAAAAAAAAAAAAAAAAAAAAAGTTTCTCTTTGTTTCTATTATAAAATTTTGCAAACCGGTAATTTTTCTCCTTCACTGATGTGCATTGATGAGGCTGCACTGAAGGGCACTGACGGGGGGCACTGCTGGGCAGCAATGACGGGGGGCTCTGCTGGGCAGCAATGACGGGGGGGCCCCGATCAACAGCGCCCTGATGATCGGTGCCGATCTGTTTTCAGACTTACTGGCCAGATCACCAGGGGAAAGCAATTGAAAGAAACCCTAAAAAAGAAAAAACTATTGCAGCCATTAGATCTAAGAATTAGCTAGCTGCAAAATAACAAAATGTTTGCTTTTAAGTTTAAGACCGCTTTAACTCAAACTACTTTAAATACTTTGTATGAAATTAGATGTTACCAGACCTTGTACACAGCTTCCCATTTCATTCAGTGAATATTTACTGTATAAAAATAACAGATTATGACTGTCCAGTAAACTTTAGGGTCAGAAAGAAATAAACCATCATGTCCCCCAAACTCTGAGGACTGAAGGTAAAAGGTTAGAATGGAGCTAGCCAAGACATGGTTTTCATTTGAACAATGTATTGTAGTGATGCACTATTTCAGGTGTTGGATAAATAGGGTGGATCCATGAATACCACCATCTACTGCTCCTACATATAAAAGGATTGATGGAAGGGGGGAAAACAAATAAAAACTAGACTAAAAGTAAAAAGGGATACGAGGACTAAAAAGTAATCAGATGCTACTTATAGTTTTTCTCCACAATTGACAGCTTTGCGGAATAGCTACCAAATCCACCCCTCTGGCTGTTGATTGTATAAATAAACCTGGAGGTTTTTACTTCAAGATGAACATACACTGTGATAATGAACTACAAACACTGTATATTTACAGAAAACTGTATTGTATGTATTTCTTTAGCTTAGGTTCACATTAGTGCAGGCTGCGTGCAGAAAAAAAAAAAAAGCAATGCAGTTTAGGAGATGCGTGGGGGTACCATTACACCTAACAGCACCCCCACACTCTGGAAACTGCACTACGTGGTTTCCCTGCAGCCGCATTTTCTGAAAAGAGATAGGGATATTTTGGGTTTTCAGTGGGTACAGAAGCCCATCAAATAAGTGGGCTGCTGTGCAAGAGCAAATGTAGCTGTGGGAAAACTGCGTAGATGTAAACCATAAGTTAAAGAGATCCTGTCACCACACCATTCATCTCAACAATCTTTCTATAAAAGATTATATGTGCAGTTGCCATAGTATTTACCTGCACAAACCTACAATGTGTAGACATCCAAAAGCCCTGGTACTGCTGCTGGGTACTGCCATACTGGATGTAATGTCACAGCCTATGCAGACTCAGAATTGTCACACAAGTTACACACTACAGTATTCACCTTGACTCTTCACCCAGCGACTACATAAAAGGTTATGTAGGGAGCTGAAGGAAGGGGTGGAGGAGCTAGGACAGCACAGGAAGTAAATAGACCTGTCCAGAAGATGGGAAGGAAAAACCCTGCAATTTAGAAATTAAAATATTTGCCTTTTTTTGTGCTTTGACATGCAAATTTCCGAGCTGGAGAATCCGTAAATTGGTAATAAATGCTATTATAGATTTGAGATATCTTATATTAGTGCCACGCGTATATCTCCATATACTATACACAATCTACTAAGTGCATCAAAAAAACATATACTTAAACCACAACTTTAGTCCTTCATATGTGATAATATCCATGCATAAACAAACAACTTTGTGCCAGACATGTGCTCTTTTCCCCTTGTGTACACAAATTCTTAGATGTGCTCCTCCACCACAGACATACAGTTATACTCTCACCTCCTTCTATGACCCAAATTGCATAGGTCAAATAGTGCCTTTCCCTTTAACCCAGGTAGGTATAATGTATTGCTAGCTCCACTCTCCTCCTCACTCTGCTGCACATGATCTCGCCTCCTTCTTTACCCAACATATCCTCTACATATGTAAACAAACGCTTGACATAGTGTAGTACTCATATACTGAAAATTTATTAAAATAAAGTGCACTCACATTTAAAAGTGTCTTGCTGGAACACCACAGTAAAAACACCTGTCAAATATTAAATCCAATGCATTCAAGGAAATTCCAAGATGGCGGCTCGTAAACTTCTGGTATTGCAGCTTGACGTCATCAGCCCACCGTCATCAGACATCAAGCCGCAAAACCGGAAGTTTACGAACCACCATCTTGGAATTTCCTTGAATGCACTGCATTTAATATTTGACAGGCGTTTTTACTGTGGTGTCCCAGCAGTACACTTTTAAATGTGAGTAACTTTTTATTTTAATAAATTATACAGTATTTGAGTACTACATTATGTCAAGCGTTTCTGTTTACATATGCGGAGGATCATCTGCAGCAGAGTGAGGAGGAGAGTGGAGCTAGCAATACATTATACCTACCTGGGTTAAAGGGAAAAGTGCGATTTGACCTATGCAATTTGGGTCATAGAAGGAGGTGAGAGTATAATTGTATGTCTGTGGTAGAGGAGCACATCTAAGAATATATGTGGACACAAGGAAAAAGGAGCACCTGTCTGGCACAAAGTTATTATTTATGCACAGATTATATTTTAAATATGAAGGACTAAAAGTTGCGTTCATTATAACATTCACAAGTGTTTAAGTATATGTTTTTTTATGCACTTAGTATATTGTGTACAGTATATGGAGATATACGCGCGGCACTAATATAAGATATCGCTATATATGTATGTGGAAACACATGTAAGTGTCAGCACTACTAGTTTACACAGGAGGTTGGTTTTTTTTGTACTAAAGTTTTAATTGTAAGTGCTATTATAGATTTGACTTCTTATATTCATCAATATGTGTAATCTTCAAAAGCAACATACCCAGACAAGACGTTGTGGATGGTTCACAATGGTTCAGTGAAAGAACACTCACCTTCAGTTTCCATGTCCTGGCCCTTCGGAGCTTCACCTATATCTATAGTGAACATCACTATCTTCGGAGTGGTTTGCACCAATATTGATACCAGTATTGGTGCTGATACGAAGCATTTGTACGAGTACTTGTGCAAATGGTCCGATACCTGAAACCGATACCTTTGCAGTGTCATTTTAGCCCCAATAAAATGAATTGGATTAAATTGCACCACAAAGAATCGCATGTGATTTGAAATGAAATCGCACTACTTCAGCTGAAGTAGCAGTGTGATTCCTGTCCGAATCACATGTGGTTTGTAGTGCGATTTGCAGGGGGGGGGGGGGGGGGGGGGGGGGGGGGGGGGGGGTGGCTCACATCATGCTACAAATCGCACCACACCCACAGAGAAACCAAATGTGATTCGGACAGCAATTGCCCTGCATTCCTGTTCAAGTCACATGCAGTGAATATCAGAAAAGCGCCAAACCAAATTAAATACCAAAATAAGCAGCAAACCTAAAACCCCTAAAAAAAAAAAGGTATAAATAATATAAATGAATAAAGGAATGTGCTAAATCATATGCGATTCTTTTCAGAGCAATATGAGGCAATTCATTTTGTATCAGTGCAAATCACAAGCAAAGGTATCGATAATCTGTACCGGCGAGCACTTGAGCACAAGTATCGATACTTGCACTCGCCAATAAAAAAAATAGTATTGTTGCAACCCTAATGCTTCTAATAAAAACAAGAGTGCTCCATACATGTCCAACCCTGCTACAAGCTGAATGACTTCATTTAAGCACAACTATACAGTAAATTCTATAATACCAGCCTGCAAGTAGAATGTCCATCATATGCTATTTAAAGTGTTACTAAACCCAAGACCCTACAATTACTCCATCTGCTCCTCCACAGTACACAGAACATGGAAATGCAATTATTTTAGTAAATATAAACTGCTAAATACATTTTCGCATCAGCAGTTACAGCAGTCTTTTGACTTCTATCAGTGTTCAGCAGAGCACTGGTTAAAGCTTGTAGGTGGTTTCTTTCTACTCTAGGAGAATGCAGTATTTCTGACCTCTGTCTGGACAGTGCTGATTGGCCCAGTGCTGATCTCATGCACTCTCCCAAGAAAAGAAAATGCCTCTCCAGCAATACACACTAAACTGAGCATGTGCAAAATGTCTACGGTTCACTCTGTCTTATCAGGAGAGAAGACGTGGACATTTGCACGAGGAGGAGCAGAGAAGACAGGATCAAATTAACTTTTTACACAATGAAGACGATTAACCCCTTAGGTTCCACAGTGAGTATAACAAGCATGCTTTACTGCATATACAGACTGATTTTACTGTTGTGGGTTTAGTAACACTTTAAGCTATAATGTATGTATAACTCCTGCCACTGTATTGTTATAACAATTTATTATGACTACTTATTACCCTCACATCACCTTTCTTTTTAACCACAACCTGCTCTGAATGCGTATTTGACTTGAAGAGGACTGTTTCAGCTTCTGAACCTACAGTATATTATTACCTAATGACAACAGTTTAATTACACAGTAAAAGGTGCTTATATATTCAGCTAACAGTAACAAGCAAAGAACGAATGAAAGAAGTGCTACAACTACATAGTGCAATTTTTCTATTGTAGACCAGTGTTTCTCAACCTTTTTCAGTCAAGGCACCCTTAAAATTATGGACAGTCCTAAGGCATCCTTTAAAATTATGGACAGTCTGGAGGCACCCCATTCTAAAATTTTAAAAACTATTCTAATAGTTTTATATAACACAGCAACATCCACACATGCAGGACACCCAACATTAGAGGTGATTTATTCTTCCAAAGCAAATACACATTTGAACACTGGTACTGACTAGTATACCCATGTTTCTCTTCTCTCTCAGTTTTTCTCCATCACTGAGCTAATGTGACCCCAGCACTGATGGAGAGGGGCAGGGCAGGGTTAAACTAGGATTCTGTGCAGGCAGCTGACATCCTCCTTATCAACTGATGTCATTGGTTGTCAGAACGCCAGCGGCTAGAAGGTCATGATGGTGCTCAATAAAAACCTGTGGCTTTGTGCAACTAAAAGGCAGGCTCGTTGCAACCGCTGGCTTATATACAAGTTTTGGGCAATGTTTAGAAATTTTGCCAAGGCACCCCTGAGGAAACCTCACGGCACCCCAGGGTGGCTGTTGTAGCCACTAATACTTGCTCAAAAGGTGTTGAGCATATAGCAAAACAGTTCATATACCTACCTACGCATGTCTCAACCCGTCCATCTGCGCATAACGGCCCTACCCGTCCACCTGCGCATAACGGCCCTACCCGTCCACCTGCGCATAACGGCCCTACCCGTCCACCTGCGCATAACGGCCCTACCCGTCCACCTGCGCATAACGGCCCTACCCGTCCACCTGCGCATAACGGCCCTACGTGTCCATCTGCGCATAACGGCCCTACCTGTCTATCTACGCATAATGTCCCTACGCGTCTATCTGCGCATAACGTCTCTTTCTTCATGGTTTAAATGCTTGATCACAGGAGGCTTCAAGCAGATGACTTTACAGCTTTAGAAACCTTTAAGCCCAGGTTTCACACATGTGCAGTGTAAAATTGTTCAGTTTTGTAGTGTGATTCAGCGGTGCAAGTCACATGCATTTCTGTTTGAACAGCAATGTGGTTTTAATGTGAATCTAAAACAGCTGCATTTTTGGGATCTACCTTGTCCATAGTTTTTTTTTCCAGAGAGTCTCTCTCTCTCCCCCCCCCCTCTCCTACACTGGTTAGGGAAATACACTGAAAAGAGCACTGCAATCTAATAGTTGTCATTTAACTTTATAGACTGAGAATTTCGATCGCACACTCGCACAGGACCATTTTAAAAACCGCACTACAGCTACAACATACCCAACTGAACACCCTCCATAGGAACACATTCAATTTCACTTGTCATGAGTCAAAGCTCAAAATGCATCACAAAACACATGTGTGAACCAGGGCTGAAGGTATTTTTTGTCCAAAACAATACATTAACCCTTTTGTCGACAGGTCCACATGTCGTATAGACCTGACAGCGGGGGTTTTCTATACACAATCTGGTGGCTGCAGCCCCCGGGATTGTGAATAAAACTGATAGGCAGACTCCTGCCTGTCAGGTGGAAGCAGTCAGGCAGCTGCGCTGCCACCGATTGCTTCCACAGCCACTAACTGTGCACCCCGCGCATTCCCACCATGTATCCGGGCCCCACTTGGCCATCTGTGGGCACAGGGAGTGTCATGTCGGATGGAGGGGAGAGCGGACACACATCCGCTCTTCTTCTTTCTGTGACCCGGAGGGCAAAGTGTGTGACATCATTTCTGGGTCACCACCACTTCTGGGTCACCATTGTCACTTTCTCAGCTAGCACAGCCAAGAAGCAATGTATTGCAATGCGGTCTGCATTACAATACATTAAGTGGAGGCCAGAGGAGACATGCAGGGTCTTTTACACCCTGTATGTCTCACTGAAGAGAACCTGTCACCTAAAACTAATCACAAACAGGACATGGTTACAAATTTAAGTAAAATTTATATATTTATTTTTTTAATTGCAAAATAATCAAATTACACCCAAGCACATAACATCCCCCACATATACACACGTATAAATGTAAATGCACACGTTAGGGCGTTTACGCTTAAAACTTCAATTGCAATACATGGTCCTTTTGCCGCAATTTTTTTAAATTGAAGAAACATGCTGGTATTGAAGTTCTCAAAACAACTTGGTAATAGTGCACTGGATACATTTAATGTATAGGTCACACAGAGAGAATGAGGTGAAGGGGTTAATATACAGGTCACAGCAGGATGATGGAGATGGGGGGGGGGGGGGGGGGGGGGGGGGGGGGGGGGGGTTTAATGTGCAGGGTAAGGGAGATGAAGGGGTTAAAGTGGTTGTAAAGGCTTCATGCATTCTGTGCCCCCAGTCCATTCAATACTTACCTGAGCATCATCGCAATCCAGCGATGTGAATGACAGCCTCGGCTGTCTGGCTCCTGCTGTTGTCAATCACAGCCAGTCAGCAAATGAGGAGGGAGGGGTGGGGCCAATCCACGGCTCCGTGTGTCTGTGATACACGGAGTAGTGGGTGCCCCCATAGCAAGCTGCTTGCTGTGGGGGCACCCGACAGGAGAGCCTGCAGGGACCCAAGAGGAGGAGGATCCAGGCTGCACTCTGCAAAACCACTGCACACATTAGGCAAGTATAAACATGTTTGTTATTTAAAAAAAAAAAAAAAATTAACCTTTAGAATCGCTTTAATATACAGGCAATACAGAGTACAGGAAAGAAAGGGAAATGTATTAAACTATCGTACAATTACATTAACACCCCAGAGGGGGCACCTCTGGACAGCAGCATTGTTAATATGGGGGGAGGGCAGTGTTCAATGTACTAACAGGTTTAAATACATTAAATTAAAGCCAAACTCCAGCCAATATTTTTTATCCAGTTAGAAGTTGATCGTTATAAGCAACCCTGTCAGTGTTAAATGGTTAGAGCTTGTTCTGTTGAAAAACAGACTTATTGGCTGGATCACCAAATGAAAATAGAAGAAAGATTGAAAATCAACACAGCCACCACATCTAAGAAATGGTAAGCTGCAATACAATAAATGTTTGTTTTTGTGTTTAATACTGTCTTGGGTGCATTGTGCAGAGATGCTATGCTTTAAGATTTCTAATATTACCGGTTCACACTGAGTATAGTGGCTGCAGGTGATCTGTCCTCGCGTGAAGAACAGTTTTTTCAAGTAAGTGCAGTTGTGCAGTTATCCCTCCCCTGTATTTGCTCTGATTACAATAGTGTGATCAAAGTCATACTTTCACATACCCTAATTGCAGGGCTTGACAAACTTGCTTTGAATCTAGGAGCCAGCTAAAAAGGTTAGGAGCCAGTTTTTTAGCGTAGCATAGGTTGTCAGCGCCTGGGGCAAGGCAAACTTTGGGTGTCAAGCTTCATGTGATGTGATTTGCCGTGCAACAACCACAGAAAAACCACACCACTTTTTAGGTACCATTGAAAATAATGGCACCTGACCCCGCGTTTTGCGACCACAGCAATTCTGCCATGATCCCAAAATGCCCTGGATCCGTTTTTAAACTCAGGATTCGTGTGACAGGCTAGATATTATGTGTTCCTATTGAGGTGGT